TAAGCACACAGTCACTCGGCGCACCTCCATCAGAAGTGTGAATGAGTGAGAGTGAACGAGTGGAGAGAGGACTTGTGACTGGGGGCGCTGAAGGATGAAAGGGACTCTCTCTCGCGCTATCCCCTCTTGCAAGCGTCAAGTCACAGCAAACAAGATGGAGGAATGGACGACGCTCGCATGGAGGGGAAATGAAAGGAAGTGGGTGAATGGGAAGAGAGAGAGAGAAGGAGAGAAGAGAGAGAGAGAGAGAGAGAGAACTCACTGCCGAGCTGATGGCGTTGCTCACGGCCTGCTTGAGGCGGCTGAACATTCGACGGACTTGGCTGAGTGTTGGACGTGGAGGAAGGGCAAGTTTGAAAGTTGGGGAAAACGGCAAGAGAGAGAGAGAGTAAAGAGTAAAGAGTAAAGAGTAAAGAGTAAAGGGAAGAAGACTGAATGCAATGCAACTCAATAGAATAGACCAAATCCATACATACATACTGTCGACTACAAGTGAGGTTCCCATTGTGATGCATGTTTTCCAATGATCTCAAACATCTCACTTCTTTATTTTGATTGTTTGATCATTGCGATGGCAGACACGGAGGGCCTCGTCCACATCCTCAAAGCACCGTCCAAGGACGCGCTTCAGCAGAGTGCGTCTCCACTCGCTCCACTCACTGGCTCTCCCTTTACCGCGCCCGTGACACTCTCCAGTCGTCGTGCTCCCTATGATTCATGCTCATGACAAGCGACTGAAAGCGAGCGAGCCGTCTCCCTTGCTTGCTTTTGATCACTGATCGCCCTTCTATCACCTACTCCCCTCACTCTTCCCACTCTCATCGTCACTCTCATCGTCACTCTATGTCAGTTCGCTCTCAACACTGCGAACTCGGTCCCCTCTTCTGTTATGGTTTGGATTTGTCGCTCGCTCGAGTGGTCGCTTTGAACGCTTTGTCTTGTGATGCTGCTGGCTGATCCCTCGCTCTCTCTCTATGCCTCTCACTCTATGCCCCTCTGCACTCACTCTATGCCTCTCACTCTGCACTCCACTCCACTCACATCGCTCTGAATCATCACCAATCGTAATGCACTCCCCCACACACTCAATCAAAACGCATTGCCCTGCCAAACTCCATCCTATCCTATTGCTCATACGGCCCAACCCCTGCCATTTGTACGAGCACTCACATCATCAACTTTTGCCATGTACTTTGGTTTATTCAACAAGTCTTCAAGGACGCATTCAACTTCCGCCTGCGACCAACCGCCCCGCAATCGTTCATTGAGAGCACAACCAAGGGACTACAAATCTCAGAAGCTGATGCCAAACAGGTATGTGTATATATCAAACAACCCATTTCAAAGCACAGCTCCATCAACGTCACAGTCGAACGCTTTTGCTTCTAACTCGTTTTTTTTTTTTTTGGATTGCCTTCCACGCAGTTGTTTGACGCCGCGCGCATCATTGCCCAAGAAGCCCTGTTTGAAGGCCTCGAGCCACAGCGCATCGCCAGCCTGTTCCCCGTCAACATGCAAAAGAACGGCAAGCTGGCAACCATGATCTATGAGCTCGTCCCGACCTGGAAGCTGCAATCCATCGACGAGCAGGTCTCCCTTCCCCGGCTCGTCGACTTTGACTGGCGCATTGACATCAAGACTGCTTCTGATAGCGCCTCCAAGATGGCTGTTCCCACCGTGCTTTTGCAAATGAAGGTAGGGCAGAGCAGGATTCGCGGGGAAGGACAGAAGGAAATCCACTTGAGGATTGACTTGTACGACATGTGCATTCGTTTTTGTTTGGTTGTTTTCCAGGTGCGCGACACACCAACACGTACAGACCAACAACCCGGCGAGAGCATTGTGAACTTTGAGCTGACAAAGGAGACGCTCGAGACTATGCTGGATGGCTTGGGCAAGATTCGCGACCAGCTGTCCTCGGTTGCAAAGTGAGAGAGACGACGGTGCATTTTTTTTGTTTTTGCCTGTGGCTCGTCAAACAAGCTATTGTGTATTGTGTGCGTGTTTGTGATACCGGAGTCGTGTGCGTTTGTGTCGCGGCAACACCGATTGTGCAAAATTTTATCTTTTTTGTTTTTTTTTTTGTTTTGTTTGTAAAAACCAGCATGAAAAAGGTTGGTGTTCAACGGCCCGAGCGATCCGTTTGGGGGGGGGGGGTCCACTTGCATTGGATTTCATTGCTCTCAAAGCCCCTCTTGCTCGTCGTTGAGAATGGATTGAGAATGTTTGCCGATTCGGCCACTGTCTTCCCTTCCCTTCCTTATGCTCACCCCTTGCTCCAGCCACCGCCACTTGCACTCTCAAATTCAGTGCAATTTATTTCGCATTCCGCTCAATCAGCCATTACGCGTTTGCTCAGCGTTTGTGCACTGTTCTCTTTTTTTTTTTGTTTTTTTTTTTTTTTTCTGTTGAATTGCATTGCAGATTGACTCAAAACAAACGGTCTTTCATTCACTCCCTTTTTCGTATCTTTTGTTGATTCAAAATCCAATCCACATATGAGCCGCGTCCTGCAGTTGCACGGCGGCGACGGCGGCGGCGACGGCACAGCAACAACTGGTCGTGGCAGCAATGCAATGCTACTGCGCAGCTCGTCTGTCGTGGAGCAGAAGCTGCAGTTCTCGACGCGGCCAATGACGGTCGCATTCAAAGACCTCAGTTTCACCGTAATGGTCAAGCCAAACACGTACCCCGCAGCCAAGGCCGGAGACAAGGCCCCTGCTCCTGCTGCGTCTGCGTCTGCGTCTGCGTCTGCCTCTATCGATGTTGATGCCGGTGCTGCGGCTGCACCTGCGCCTCGCGGCAAGAAGCAGCTGCTCGTCGAGAAGAAGATTCTGAAGGGCGTTACGGGCAGCTTTGAGTCTGCGCGCTTTACCGCCATCATGGGCGCCAGGTACAGTACCCTCACCGCAACTACACTTACATGTATTCGACACACGCACGCACACACGCGCACTTGTCTTTGTGACGCTGGGCTGTCAGACTCAATGGAAGGACCGTTTTTCGTTCCATTGGGAATTGGTCGCCAAACCGCAAAATACCGAACCCACGACAGCAAACGAAACGAAGCAGCGATTTGAACGAGATTGAATGGGTGATCTGAATGAGTAGCTCAATGATGAAGCAAAGTGTGCTCATCGTGAAGGACAAGGTGGGGGGGGATTTGAGCTCAGTGTGGAAGAGAGAGAGAGCGAGTTGTGGAGGGTTTTTTGTTCGGTGGCACACAGTCCGACGCTTCCGAACGTGCCTGCTACAGCTCACATTGAGCTCACTTTTTGGTGCTAAATCTACTGCTTTGTGTGGCATGTGTTTGCTTGCAGTGGCGCTGGCAAGACGTCCCTGCTCAATGTACTGGTAAGCCCCGCGAAAACAACAATGGAAACAAAACCGTTACTGCTCCACGTTTGAGTTTGACGGTTTGATCAAGAAGCTGAACACTCACTTGCTAACACAATCAATCAATCAAACAAAACAGGCTGGTGAAGTTGCTGCTGGAACAGTCGATGGCACAGTATCTGTAAGGACCTCAATGCAAAACAAGTTTTGTTTAGCATTTCTAACCATTCGTGTGATGCTTCTGATCCCCCATCAGGTCAATGGACAGTCAATCGATCCAGGTCGCATCATGCGCCGCATTGCAGGATTCGTCTTCCAAGATGATATCATTCTCGGCACCATGACCGTTCGCGGTAAGCAAGCCAATCCAACTAACTTTCGACAAAGCGCCAGTCCCAAACCGCTCACTTGAACTCTCATCTCTCAGAGGCCATTACCATGTCGGCGCTGCTTCGCTTGCCGCGGAGTCTGTCTCTGGAAACCAAGATGACGCGTGTGGATATAGTCATCCAATTATTGCGCCTAGACAAGTGCGCTGACACGTTGATTGGTAGCGCTCACGTGAAGGGTGTTTCAGGTGGTGAGCGCAAACGAACTGCTGTGGCCATGGAAATGATCACCAACCCTTCTATTCTGTTCTGCGACGAGCCGACGTCTGGCCTCGACGCATTCAGTGCTTTCAGCCTGTGCCAGACACTAAAATCACTGGCTGATGCGGGCTGTACTGTGGTCGCCACCATCCATCAGCCTTCGTCTGAGGTTTACCACATGTTTGACGAGCTTCTGTTGCTCGCAGACGGTCGCGTCATGTACATGGGCGAGCTCGAGTACGCGGTCGAGTACTTTGGCGCGCGTGGCTTCTCGTGCCCGCGCTACACCAATCCTGCGGATTACTTTTTCATGAGCATTCTGAACGACGCTACGCACTCCGTGTTTGTCGAGGATGCGGAGCAGGAGGAGAAGGTGAAGGAAGAACAGGAAGAGGAAGGGAAAAACGTGATTGTTGCCCCCAACCCGCTCCCTGTCCCCATGGATCTCGATGCCGTCGCGGACTTTCTCTTGCGGGACGCAACCGAGACTGGCAGCTATCACAGCGCAATGGAGGACATTGTCACCAAGCAAGAAAGCCCGATCAACGAAAAGGCCGACGTTCGTGTGCAGCGCTTGCTCAACTTGTGGCCCACCTCTGAGCAATCCGCATTTATTAAGAATCGAGCGGACAACCCTGCACACACAGATGGTGTCAAGAGCACCGATCTTAAAGTTGGCGCGTCGTTTTCTACGCAGTTCATGTTTCTCGGTGGTCGCGCGTTCAAGAATGCCTTGCGAAATAGGTTTATGGTCCGCGCCCGTTTGGGCCAGGTAATATTTGCGAGAGATCGGGTTGCTGGGGGCGACTTTGTGTTGATGCTGGTGTGTTCTTGTTGTTAATTTTTGTTGTATTTTTGGTTTGGTGTTTTCTTACACTCTGGCCTTTGTGGTGGCTTTGAATTGAGAGCAGACAGTATTCCTCGGTCTGCTTGTCGGATTGATTTTCTTGCAGATCGGTGATGACCAAGCATCGGTGCAAAACCGCACTGGTGCGCTTTTCTTTGTTGCTACCAATATCATGTAACGGAAATTGCCTGCGTTTGCGTTGGTGCTCCGTGATTTTGCCTTTGTTCACCCTTGGGCAACGGTTTACTGACTTTTGATGTGTCCCGTGGCTTCAGCATGACTGGTACGATGGGAACCATGACTGTCTTCTCGACCGAAAAGAACGTGTTTTTGCGCGAATTTTCGTCGCGGTACTACAAGCTCTTCCCCTATTTTGCCAGCAAAATACTGGTTGAGGTGAACACTCTTCTCTTCCGTTGTGGATTGTGGGGGTTTGGGTTTTTGCTCACGAATGTGGCTTTGTTGGGTTTTTTGTTCTTTCAGCTTCCATTTAACATCTTCTTCCCATTCCTTTACGTTGCCATTCTGTACTTTCTGATTGGCTTCCAAGCAACTGCAACAAAGTTCTTCATCATGGCATTCACGACCGTCTTGCTGGCCAACTGCGGCGCCGCGTTCGGTCTTTTAGTTGGCAGCATGACGAGCGATCTTACGGTGGCCATGGCCTCGGTTCCCATGATTCTGCTGCCATTAATCATTTTCAGCGGTCTCTTGCTCAATCTGTAAGCGACAGTGAAGTACTGGGTGCGGGGGGAGGGCGAGGAGAGAGCATGTCAACAACGCACTCTCACACATTTTTGTTTGTTTGTTTTTTTCTGCCTTCCAGCGACGACACGCCGTACGAATTCTACTGGGCCCCATACATTAGTCCAGTTCGGTACGCGTATGGTGCCTTCTTGAACAACGAGATGGATGGGCTTGTCTTCACCTGCACACTGCCGAACGGCATGGAGCACCGGGGGTTGGGCTGCCCCAATCCCACCGGCGAGGCTGTCGTCAGGAATCTTTCCTTCCACACGCTGTCCGTCCTGGAAAACTGCATCATCTTGATCTGCATCTGGGTGGTTCTTTTGGGCATTGGGTATACCTGCTTGTACCGGGGCTCTCGAAGGCCATCTGGCGCCAGAATGCTGTCCAGGGCGAGATCCTCCTCAACTGCTACAGAGTAGTAGCGAATTGTCATGCCGATGTTGTTTTTCAAGCCAACGTCTTGGCATCGTTGTTGTGTGTTTGTTTGTTTTTCGCTTTCGGTTTGAGAACGCTTAATTATCGACACTAATCACGACCGATGAGAACACAACGATCTGCCACCTTTCCATCATGGTGCACCTTTTGTCGATGGTGCTGTTCTGGGTTGGTGTCGAGCAATGCGTTCAAGCAACTGAAACAGCGCTTTTGTTCCAAGTCCGACAGGGGAAATGTTTTTTTACGATTTCGGCGCAACATCCAACACACCCAAACAAGATTGGACATTGGGCGCGCAAAGACCTTTGTTGCATGCACCAATGAGCACATCACTCGGCAGACCTGCTTGCTGTGCTCGGGTGAATCTGGGTGAACGGGCCAAAGTCGGCTAAATTTTTGTTTCATTTGTTTCATTCCATCGCTCACCTTCTATGATCAGCCCCGTACGTCGGTATGAATGCACGGTTATGTACGTGTGGCATGTGTGTGTGTGTGCGTGGCATGTGCGGAGATCACATCCGCACGCCATGTGTTCGCTCACATAGTTCCCCAAATCCAAGTTCCCAGCAAAAGCGCCGAAATAGGAACATTGCGGCGCTTTCTTTTTGTTGTCTTTGTTGTTGCTGTTGCATTGGTTCCATTTGTCTATTTGCTCGGAGTAGGAGTCGCAACGTGGACGACCTGCGACTGCAAAATCACTTGTTGCTCTCAACAGCACCTGCTCTGCATTCGTCAAAGGGGAGGCGGGTGGGGGGTGGGGGCCACAATCCGCAATGAGAACGAACGGGGGCTACATTGGTTGAAACGCTGTGTGCCCCCGGCTTCGTTCCCACGCGCCGGTCGCCTGCATCCCGCGCTCTCCGCCGTTCTCCGCCGCGTTTTCTTGTTTGTTTGACTTCCTCCTTGCATTTCGACGCGAGAGTGCCGCATTTTCCCACGCTAAGACTCATGGTCTTGGCGATCCTTCAAATTCGCCGCATTTTCCCAAAAACAGCGCCTTCACTCTTCCATTTCCATTGTCATTGTCATTATTGTGTACACCATGCAGTTGAACGGCGTCAACGGCGGCGGTACCACCAACGGAAGCAGCGCCGTGCTGGTGCGCGGCTCGTCTGTCGTGGAGCAGAAGCTGCAGTTCTCGACGCGGCCAATGACGGTCGCATTCAAAGACCTCAGTTTCACAGTGACGGTCAAGCCAAACACGTACCCCGCAGCCAAGGCCGGAGACAAGGCCACCGCTCCTGCTGCGTCTGCGTCTGCGTCTGCCTCTATCGATGTTGATGTTGGTGCTGCGGCTGCACCTGCGCCTCGCGGCAAGAAGCAGCTGCTCGTCGAGAAGAAGATTCTGAAGGGCGTTACGGGCAGCTTTGAGTCTGCGCGCTTTACCGCCATCATGGGCGCCAGGTACAGTACCCTCACCACAGCCGCAGCTATACGCACACACATGTATCCAAATGCACAGACCTGAGGTGTCTCGTCAAAAAGCTGGTCGTCCGATATACTTTTCAAATGGGAATTGGTCCAAGCTCTCAAAAACCAAACCGCAAACCACCGAACCCCTGCTGATCCCTCCTCGAATGTCGCGTGCAAATGTTGAGACTCGCGATGTTGGTACTCATGCTGGCTTGGCTTGTGTTGGCCTTGTTGCTGCAGTGGCGCTGGCAAGACGTCCCTGCTCAATGTGCTGGTAAGTCAGGAAGGAGCAAAACCGTTATTGTCAATCATGCACGCACTCACATATGGCGCGACCCTCTCTCATTGTGACTCAGGCTGGTGAAGTTGCTGCTGGAACGGTCGATGGCACCGTGTCTGTAAGGAGGACCTCAGCCACACCTCGATACTGCAACACACAGGTGTTCGCATTGCATTTCTGACACATTTTTTTGTTCTCGTCCAGGTCAATGGTCAAGAAATCGATCCGGGTCGCGTTATGCGCCGCATTGCTGGATTCGTCTTCCAAGATGATATTATTCTCGGCACCATGACCGTCCGCGGTAAGTCGGTTTTAACGTGCAATTCTACTTCAGCACCGAATCGCTCACTTGAACTCTCATCTCTCAGAGGCAATTACCATGTCGGCGCTCCTTCGCTTGCCACGCAGCCTGGCGCTGGAAACCAAGATGGCGCGTGTGGAGACAGTCATCCAGCTGCTGCGGCTGGACAAGTGCGCTGATACGTTGATCGGCAGCGCTCACGTCAAGGGTGTCTCGGGCGGTGAGCGCAAGCGTGCTGCTGTGGCCATGGAAATGATCACCAACCCTTCCATCCTGTTCTGCGACGAGCCCACCTCTGGCCTCGATTCGTTCAGCGCGTTCAGCTTGTGCCAGACGCTCAAGTCGCTGGCTGCCGCGGGTTGCACGGTCGTCGCTACCATCCATCAGCCTTCGTCCGAGATTTACCACATGTTTGACGAGCTTCTGTTGCTCGCAGACGGTCGCGTCATGTACATGGGCGAGCTCGAGTACGCGGTCGAGTACTTTGGCGCGCGTGGCTTCTCGTGCCCGCGCTACACCAATCCTGCGGATTACTTCTTCATGAGCGTGCTGAACGACGCCACCCACTCCATGTTCGATGAGGACGCGGACAACCATGACGACGAGAAAGACCTCGGCGAAGTGGCGAGTGGCACATCGGGCTTTGCTCTCAAGGACGAGAGCGACAGTGGCAGCTATCACAGCGCCATTGACGGCACCCCGATGACGACTCTTGCGCTTGTCAAGCCAAACCAGGCAGTCAAGGAAACCGCTGACGCTCGCGTGCAGCGTTTGCTGAACATGTGGCCCACCACCGAGCAATGCGCTGCCATTGAGGAGCGAGTCAACAATCCCACCTTCACGGACGGTGTCAAGAGCACCGATCTCAAGGTTGGCGCGTCTCTCACTGAGCAGTACCAGTTCCTCGCTCGTCGCGCGTTCAAGAATGCCCTTCGTAACCGGTTTATGGTCCGAGCCCGTCTTGGCCAGGTAATATCATGGAATGACTTTTTGAGTTGATTTGGCATGTCGCTATTGGAGTGTTCTCTGACTCTCCTCTTTTTGCCTTTTTTATTTTCGATTGACTCGAACAGACCATTTTCCTCGGCCTGCTTGTTGGCTTGATTTTCTTGCAAATCTCGGACGATCAAGCATCTGTTCAAAACCGCACTGGTGCACTTTTCTTTGTGGCCACCAACACAGTGTAAGCATTGCTCGCTGGTCGGTGTTCGTTTGCCAAGTTTCCGTTTCACCTCACGGTCTGTTTGTCTCTTATCCTGCTTTTTTCCCCCGTTGAACTGTCTGTCTCTTATCCTGCTTTCCCCCCCCCCCAACCCCCCGTTGAATAGTATGACGGGCACAATGGGCGTCATGACAGTCTTCTCGGTCGAAAAAGTCGTGTTTATGCGCGAATTTTCGTCCCGCTATTACAAACTCTTGCCATATTTCGCGAGCAAAATCATGGTTGAGGTGAGCACGCGTGTTTCTTGTGCGCCTTCTCTTTTGTTTTGTTGGGTTTGGATGACCGACCAACTCATCAACGTTGTTTTTGTGATCAACTTTTCTTTTTTTTCTGGCTGCAGCTTCCGTTCCACGTCTTGTTCCCGCTGCTCTATGTGGGCATTCTGTACTTTATGATTGGCTTCCAAGCAACTGCATCCAAGTTCTTTATCATGGCTTTCACAACCGTTATTTTGGCCAACTGCGGTGCGGGTCTTGGCCTCTTGATTGGCTGCATGGTGAGCGACATTGCCGTCGCCATGGCCGTTGTTCCCATGGTTTTGCTGCCGTTGATGATTTTCAGTGGTCTCTTCCTCAACCTGTAAGTCACGGTGTTTTTTGCGCATCATGCAGAGGAGTCTCGATTTTCGCTCATCGTTTTCTGGTTTTTCGTTTGTTTGTTTGTTTGTTTGCTTGCTTGTTTCTCAGGAATGACACTCCGTACGAGTTTTACTGGGTGCCATACATTAGCCCGATTAGATACGCCTATGGAGCCTTCTTGAATAACGAGATGGACGGTCTTGTCTTCTCCTGCACTTTGCCGAACGGCACGGAACACCACGGCCTGGGCTGCCCGATTCCCTACGGCGAGACGGTTGTCAAAAACCTCGGCTTTGACACGCTCAGCGTTCTGGAGAACTGCATCATCCTGATCTGCATGTGGATTGTCCTCTTGGGCACTGGCTATCTGTTCTTGTACAAGAACTCGAAGCGACCATCCGGCGCCAAGATGGTGCCCAAGGTCAAATCCCATTAAGTGCGCCGCCCCCTTTCAGTAGTTAGCTGCATTCTGCGCTAGCTGCCCTTATTAGTTTATGTTTCTTCTTGTGATGGTTTTTAATATTGGTCCGTTTGCCGCCTTGCCGCTTGTTTGCCGTTCATATTCCTTTTTTTGTGCAAAAATACAAACCAAATCGAATACGATAAATGCGCATGTACCTGTCGTGAAATTTTAATTACATAATGCAGCTCAACCCCCGGATTCAACGCAAGAAAAAAAAACAATGCACACACAAATACAATAGAATGAAATATTGAGGCCAGTTTCAAGTCTTCAAATGGTCGATTCGTTGAACTGCGGAACAACGGACATGCGAGACAGCTCAGGGACGTCGTGGTCAAACTGGCAGTTGCATTATGCCAAACAAAATACAAGGCAGGGTGAGTGCAACACAGTACTTGAACAGGCAATTCATTCATCGACAGAGCTTTGGCAGTTTACCGAAAATTCATGCACGGAAGTTGGGGTTCCGTTCTCCTGGTCCAAGCTCAAGGTCTTGCAGGGCGTCTGTGGAAAACCACAACATTACACAAAACAATAACGATAAGTCACTCGTGTACCAAGTGAGACTGGAGGCCACAGCCACTACGCAACTTTACCAATAATAGCTGAAGCAGCGGTCGATTCGCGCCCGGCATCGGTGACTTGGCGGCAACAGCTCGCACAGGAGTATTCGCAGACACTGTGCGCAGTGTCTCAACTCGTGGAGCTGGCGATTCGTGAATCACCATGCCAGCAGCAGAGGTGCACAATGCGAACGAGGCGGGCAGTGCTCGTGGAGAAGAAAAGTCAACGACAGGCGCAGTGTGCTCAACGATCGAGATTGCGCCAACTTCGACTGCACCAACGTTAGCGGCCGCCTTGGGCGGAAGAATGGTACCACGAGTGCCTTTTGCCGCTGGGACAGGCTGCGTGGGTGCTACGCCTCGAGGAGCTGTGGCAGCACGAGGTGCGACGGGCTTGCGCACGTTGCTTGTGGCTGCGCTGACTGTTGCGTTGCCTTGGCGCGACGATGACACGGCCACGCGCGCTCCTCCTGCGCGCTTGGCCGCAGTCGAGCTTCCTGACGACAAGCCGCTGGTATTCAAGTCAATCCCGCTTGTGTTGAGACCGCTCGTGTTCAACCCGCTAGTGTTCAGCATGCTCGAGTTTTGTCCACCCGAAAAGCTCGTGTTCAAAGAAGTGTTTAGCATAGCCGACACTGGACGGCGCGACAGCGTGCCAATGACGACAGATGCAGAAAGGCTGGTTTCCAACGTCGTGAGGTACCGGCCGCCGTTCACCAAAAAGTACTTGCCGTGTCGCGACTCCCACTCTTCGAGCGCAGCAATGAGCTGCTTGCGAACGACGGGCAGCTCTTTTTGGATTTTCTTGGTCGCGTTCTGCTCCTGAAGCATGCGGCCGCCGCGATTGTTGTACTTTGAGGTGTCGCTTGCGCGAGACTGGAGCTCCAATAGATTGGCCTCCAGCTGCTTGTGGCTTGAAACAAGCTGGAAGATGTTGGCATTGTCAGCATAGTATTGCTCCATGCGCTCCAGCTCTTGCTCGTGCGCTTGCAGGGTATCTTCTGAGCACAAGTTTGTGAAAGCATGCGTAAACTGGTGTCGTTGCTCCTCGCCAAAGAAGCACTTGTCCCACAACTCGACGAGTTCGCATCGAACAGCCTCAATAAACCTATGCATGTTGGTGGTCTTGAGCTCCATCATGCGAGAAAGCTCGTTTTCAAACTGCACAAAGTTCAAAAAGCAAGAGTTCAAAATGTGAGATGCAGCCATCAAGGAGGAAGGGGGGGGGGGCGAAGGGGCGCGATCGAGTGAGGCAACATCCAATTGAAACACAAAAGGCAAAAGTGCTCACTCACAGCAGTCACGGAAGAAAACTTGACGTTGTCGTGCTCCAAAACAAACATGTGCTGCTCGCTTTCCGAGATGCGCATGCGTGTCCAGAGAAGCCGGAGCTTTTCCACAAAGCCGGCAATTTGCTGTGCATTGTTTGTGCGCGCTTCCAACAAGTCCAAGCGGAGCTGGTCCAACTTGTCGAGGTTTTCTTCGGACAGAACAAGAGCGGGAGGTCCTTGGAAGGCCTGTTGCTCAAACCCTTGCTGGGGCTGCACGCCAAGCTCACTCCACAGCGCCTTCAACGTCTCGATCTGTGTGCGAGCCTTGTCTTCACGGCCAGAGCGAGCAATGCGCAACGTGCCAATAATGTTTGTCAAATGCAGCATGTTTTCGGCAGCAATGCCTCGGCAGTAGTCGACGCAACCAGTGTCAATGGAGGTTGAAATTGGCTTGCACCGAGACAAGGACTCGACTTCATTCGAGCGAATGCCCATGGTTGCTGCGAGCGACTCGATCTCTTGGACGTTCGCACTGACAGCGGTGAGACGGCCCTGAAACTCGGACTGCAGTTTTGCAATGAAATCTTGGAGCTGCTCGGTCTTTTGTGCCACGGTAGCCACAGATCCTGACTTTGGAGTCGGGCTGACAGTGGTGGGAGTAAGGCACGCTGGGCCCGGCGTTGCTTGGATGACGGCTTGAACGGACTCGACGACTTTGGCATCGCCAATTTGACCCGCCAGCGCTTCGAGCTGTGCATGCAATGCAGCAATCTGCTGCTGGCTCTGGGTAATTTGTGCAGAGACCTGCTTCTGGATGGATGTGAAGGCCTGCTCGATGGCGACGCGGACTGCGCTGAGCTGGGCGCCTCGCGCGGCATTGTCAATGCCAAGTTCGTCCCACGCACGGTCGAGTGCAGTGATGTGGGGATTGATGATGGTGACGAGCTGGCCACGGAACTGCGTGCTGTATTTTGAGCGGGCAAGAATTTTGGCGAGCCAGCCATGGACAGATTCAGAACCAAGGGATGAGATGAGTTAATGGCAAGTTGTCACAGTTGAGCAAAAAAGACAAAAGAAAGTGCGCGCAACGAGGAGCGAAGGACGAAAACGAGAAAGAAAAAAAAAAATGGAAGAAAATTGAAGAAAGGAAAAAAAAAAAAAAAAAAAAAAGTGAAACAATGAAGAAAAGTGAAACGGTTTGAAAAAAAAAAAAAAAAAAAAAGCCGACAAAAAAGAAAATTCCCTCACAATGAAAAACCGTTTGCAAGGCTTTTTGTTTTGTTTTTGCGATAAAGTCAAGAGAACCGAAAGTGAAAAGGAAGACGAGCGTCGTTATGTGTGTGTGTGTGTGTGGATGTGTGAATGTGTGTGCTGGTGCACCGTGAACGGGGGCAAAAGTGGGAAGCGAGAAAGTAGAAACGGAGCAAAAAGAAAAAAGGGGAAAACGGTTTGAAACAGTACCCCTCCGACAATGCGCTTCTGTCGAGCAACAGCGAGCACCGCTGCTCTCTGCAAATAACAACGAAAGCACAGTCGTTTTGAGATGGAATGAACTGGGCTGGCGAGATGGGGTGTCACTAATGAGGGGCAGCACTTTGGGACGAGGTGCTGCGAAATGAAATGCGAAACGTCGCGTTCACCAACCTTCCCCCGGCTGCGTCTGCATGATGTGTGTGTGTGTGTGTGTGTGTGTGTGCTGCTGGTGCTGCGACTCTTGTGTGAGACTGCTTGGTAATGAACAGATGTACTGCGCTGTTGCTGTCTTTTTGTCTCTTGTTGTTTCGAGCAAGACGGTGAAGCGAAAGAAGGGAAACAAAGAAAGACCAAAAAATGAAGAATGGGAACGGCAATCCAGTCGCAAATGTTGAGCAACGTGAGTGCATGTTTTCGCGTTTGAATCTGCTGCTGTTGCTGCGGCTGTTGTACTTTCTAATGTGTGTGCGGGGAGTGAAGTGGGGCCGGGGGAACAGGGTTGGAGGTGACCACGACGAAAGTGGGCAAGGCGGCAGTCACGCCCATTTCCCGCCCTCCCGCCCCCCTCGCGCCCCTCCCAGTCCCACTCGCTCTAGATTTTTGTCATTGTGTTTTCTTAGTGTGTGGCTAATTTTTTTGAGTGGGAAAACGGACGTTTCCAAAACACAACGCCAACGTCCGTGGTGGGTGGCTGAGAATCCTTCCATTCCTTGCTTTTCTTGTCCTTCCCGGCTTTCCTCCCCTCCCCCTGCTACTATGCATCTTCATCCCTTCGTCGCTGATGCGTTTGGCTCGTTGCATCATTGTTGTGCATGTTTACATACGCTATTACTTTGTTCCCGCCCCCTCGCTCCACGTTCTTCATTCCAGTTTGGCATTTTTTTTTTTTTTTTTGTCTTCCGGTTTTCCCTTTCCCACTGTTTCCACGCTTTCCCATCCTCATCCCTTTTCGCTTTTTTTTCCTTCGTTCGTTTTGTTTATTCCAGTTGATCCATCCACATCCATCCACATCCATCCACATCCACCTCTCTTCCATCGTTCTTCTCGTTGTTCATTCTTTTTTGACAAGTTTTCCATTCCCGATTTCTTTTTTTTTTTTCTCTTTTTTTTTTCTTTTTTTCTATTCTCTTGTAACCTCAACAACCGCTTTCAGCTCTTCTCCTTCCCCCTCCGCCCCACCCCCGCTTCCCTCCGTCTTCGGGACTCCCATCCAGCCCCTCTGCCAATCTACCGCTCAGCCACAGCGCAGAGGCCACCCAACGCCCCCCCCCCAAACAACGAGCAGCACAAATCGTCCGACATTCCAAAATTCAACCCCCGAAAAGCCGCAAAACAATAAAAAACAAAATACAATAAAAAATCCAACAGCATTTTATTACGAATGTCGCGGATTGTTGACACGATCGATGAGGAAGGCGATCCGAGCCACGGACCACTATCAGCATCATCGTCAGCATCATCAGTGTCATCATCAGCATCAGCATCAGCATCAGCATCAGCATCAGCATCCGCATCAGCACTACAAGGAGCAGCATCACAAGCAAGGGCGGCCACACGCTCAAACTCGCTCTCAAACGACAACCCGCCAAACGACACGACCGCAACAATAGCATCGTCGTCATCGTCATCGTCACAACCATCACTAGCAACATCATCATCACCAGCATCAGCATCCATGTCGGCAACGGCAGTCCGGCGCACTGGACTCGGACCAGCTCCGTTGCTGCGCGCGGCTTCCTCGCCAGCGATGACGGCGGTTGCTGCGGACGACGGCACCACCACCACCACCACCACCAGCAGCAGCGACCAGTTCGACGGCGTCGCTGCTCTCCGCTCTGCATCGCCGTCGTCAAGCTCGCTGGACAACGCCGTGGCAGCGCGCCCGGGATCGCCTGGCACAATGCGAAGGGTCGCCCGCTCGCCCTCAATGAGCTCTGGCTCTGGCTCGGGCTCGGGCTCGGGCTCGGGCTCACCACGGTCGAGACTGGGCACGTTTCTGTTCAAGCCCGCTGCGGCGGCGGTCGAGACGCCAAAAGTGCCGACGCACACCAGCGTCGACGGGACGCTCGAGTTGCCCGTCTTGCACACCGCCGAGGAAGAGATTTCGGCCGTCAAAGTGCTCAAGAACGCCGATGCGAGCCCGCTCACATTGCTATACCTGCACCAGTTGCCGCCAGCATTGCAGCTGCAAGCACCGACCACGGCAGCGCGGAAAAACAGCCTGCGAGGCCTCGAATCGATGCAAAAGTCAATGCTCGAGAGCGAGCAGACAATCCAGTTTGGCATGGCGGCCAACCCAATGATCTCGCTCAAACTCACCCTCCTGGTCAAGCAGCAGGGGATGGAGGACTACAAGACGCTGTTCTTTAGCAAACTGGGCACGCTGCGGTTGCTCAAAGAGCTCATTGCAGGACTGTACAAGATCAAAGACCCCGAATCCATCTCTCAGATCAGCAACGTCCGCCTCAGCGACATTGACGATTGCGACGACAACTTTCTTGGCATGCTCACCAACCAGGATCGTCTCGTGTTTACTCTCGCCGAAAAGTAGCCGAAAAAACAAAAACACAAATCAGCAAAGCAGAAAAACAAGAAACAAAACCAAGAAAACGAAGCCGACCCCTCTGCCAGTGCAGGCGCTGCGAAGGATGTAGAAGCAAAGAAAAAAATGATTCTGTACAAGAGAAACCATCAACCCATCAACCCCCCCCCCTCCCTTTTGGTCTGTGAAAGGGGCGGTGGGCCTATGTTGCCTGTGTATATGTGTCTACGTGTTTCAGTGAGTGCTATTTCGTGTGTGAATGTGTGTGTGTTCGCTTTTCCCCTTGTTCAGTGTCCTTGATGGTCATCAACAACTGTTTGAAGGTGTTGCCGCGAGGAACCAACCAATTGTAGCTTTAAAGAGATTAATGACTCGAATAATTGAGCACAAACTCATGCAGGGTATCAAGCAGACGCATTCAACAACAACAACAACAGCAAAACAAGCACTGGATGTTTAGGCAAAGGAAACGTTGATGAACAAGCTGGCGGGCGTGTTCTCGACAACGGCAAACGGCTTGTACTTGTTCAGCGGGATGCGACGGAAGCCTGCAGAGTCATAGCGAATAGAAAGTGAATAAGCGCAACCAGCCATACAAAAACAAAAAGGACCAAAACAAAACAAACAAACAAACAAACAAAACAAGGAAAAAGAGAAAAAAAAAAAAAAAAAAAAGGGACCCCACGCCAGTGCAATTGCCAACTCACCGGGAAGCAGCGACGAAACAGGCAAAGCATAAGCACCAAGAGACTCCTTGGTCTTGTCATCAAAGACGTTGAAGCGCACAAGAGCAATGTCAGGCATGGAAACATCAAACTCGAACGTGTCGTTCCATTCGGGAAGCTCGCCACCCTTGGCAGAAGCCGACGCGAGCAGCAGCGTCTTGAGACCCACGACCTCAACCTCGACGATGGGAGAAAGGTCGCGGTCACGACGGCGGGACATGCGGTTGTTGGACTTGGGAGCGTTGAGCTGGAAACCGTGGACGAGCTGGATTTTGAGCTTTGAGATTTCGAGGCCACCCTTCGCGGCAGCGGGCTTGCGCAGAATCTCGGGCTTGAGCACGTAGCCAGCGTTGCCGTTCTGGGCAAAGCGAGCCGCGTTGAGCTGCATGGAGCGATCGGGCGTCTGGTAGTTCAGAGCAACCATCTGGATGCCGACATTCCACAGCGGCTGCGGGTCGTAGTTGGACGAATCAAGCGCTTGCGTCGGGTAACGCGCACCAAATGGCCGGCGTGAGACGATGTAGCGTCGACTCGTCGCGGGCGAGCTTGCAGCCTCTTTTCGGCGAACGAGGACATTTCGTAGCACTTGGTTGTCTCGGTGGCCTTGCGCATGGTGGCATAGCGAACAGACTTGCAGTACACGACAGCGTCAGACATTTCCTGGCTAATCACCTTGGCGGCCTTGACCGACGAGGGGTCGTTCGGGTTGACGCCACCACGGTTGGGATGCGCCTTGTTCTTGATGATAATCTTGCGCTTGAGCGACTCGGGCGGGGGAAGCTCCTTGGGGTTGGACTCCCAGAAGTTGCTCGCAGCCACAATCAGCTGGTCGCCGAAAATGTCGACGCAGTACTTGACAAACAGCGTCTGCTGCTCGAGGCAGAGGTGGTTTTCAAGCGAAAGGATGACGGGGTACGGCGACGCCTCGAACGCGCTTTCCTTGATGGCCAGCAGCACGTTGCGGGCGGCAATCTTGCTCGTCATGGTGTAGCCGTGATACACGATCGGCTCGCCCTTGGGGCCATCCCACAGATCAATCTCGACGCAGCGGCAGCCAGCAAGCAGCGCCTTGCGGTAGGCGTCGGTGGAGCTCGGGCCCATCAGCTGATCAGCCTCGAGGTAGCTGTTGTGGCCAGTGTTGATAAAGTAGTGGGCGAGCGGCTGGTTCATGTCCTGGTAGACCTTGCGGTGCACGGGGTTGAAGGCGGCGCAGCCGGTGGTGAACATGAACTGGACAAAGCCGAGCGAGGTCATGAAACCGTCCTGGGTCACGGCAACGTGAGCACCAAACATGTCGCGAGCGGCAGCAAGCTCGGGATCCTGCGCCTTGCTCTTCTTGTTCTGGTCTGCGAGCTTGTAGAACAGGGCCACAATGTTCTCGCTGTCAGCGGCAAGGTGAGGCTCGCGCTTGAGGTACGCCTTGAACTCGAGAATGGTCATAAAGTCCGTGTTGGTCTTGGCATTCTCGGTGAAGACGGCCATCAGCTTGGGGAAGATGAAAAACTCGCGCACCAACGACAGCAGGTGCGAAACACCGAGCTCGTCCTTCTTGAACGCAGCCTGGATGTCCTTCCTCTTCTTGATGCGGCGCTCGACGAGCTTCTTTTGACGCATCGGCAGGGCCTGGACGACGAGAGTGGCAAGGTTGGCGGCGGTGACGCTGCAGGGTGGTGGTGAAAGGGGTGGTGGTGAAAGGGGTGGTGGTGAAAGGGGTGGTGGTGGAAAAGGCCAGTCAGTCGTGACGAAGACACGGCGGTGGTGATGGTCGGACAAAACTCCAAAGAACAAAAACAAACAAAAAATTCCAACAAAACTTACTGGCCGTTGGCGTCGACAAGCTCATTCTCCTTGTAGAAGCGGCGCAGAGTCGCATCAAGCGAGTTGAGCTCTGGAGCAATGGGCACCTCAGCCTCGTCAATGTCCTCGAGTTCGGACGTGATGGAGATGGTGTCGTCGTCGGGCATTTCCTCCTCGGCGACATGGGCCGCCTTGTACGCGGACACGGCCGACTCGAGCAGCTCGGGGTCGGCAAACTTGTCATTTCCAAAGGCCGTCTCGGCGGGCTTGGCGGTCAACGCCTTGCACAGCTCGACGCGCTGCTCGGTGGCAGCAATGGTGTAATCAAGGTCGGCAAGCTGCTCGGCGCGGTCCTTCTGCGTAATGGTGAGACGCAATACGAGAAGTACAGAGCGTGAGTGGTCAAAGCGAAGGCGGGAGGCGGGGGGGGGGGAAACAAACGAACAAAATCAAAGACCGCCACCAATCTCCGAGCCCTACCTTGTTGACCCAGTCGCTCTTCAGCTTGAGAGCATCTTCGTAGAGGTGCTGCATGAGCGCGAGCTCACCACGGATGGCCACAATTTCGTTGATGAAGGGAGAGCGCTTGTCTTCCTCGGTCGGGTCGGCATACTGCTCGGGGAAGTTGCAGGGCGAGCCCAGCTGCTTGCCCTTGTACACTGGGTTGGACTGGTAGTGGGTGATCAAGTCGCCAATGAAGCCAAACTTTTGGTCGTGGCCATAGAGTTGGTACTGCGTTGGAAAAGGGTTAAAAACGAAGAGCAGGTGGTTAGAATATGACAGCGCAAGGTGACATCCAAGGCAAAGCTGGTCGAGATGTGTGCGCTTGAGCGCCTACCTTGAAGTTGTTGTCCAGAATGGAAATGTTCTGGATGTCGTCAGCCTCGGCCCTGAATCAGAAAACAAGACCGAACAAAAGTCAAGGCAACAGTGAAAATGGAGGCAGACGACGACAACGTCCACAACAAAACCGCGATGGCGATGGCAGAAACGTGTTACCAGAAGAGCAAGTTGTAATCACGAGCACGACCGTTGGCCGTGTAGTACACGAGGAACGAGCCAGGAGCGCCGCTGCCGCGGAGGAGCACCTCCGCCTCAAAGTCGCTCAGCTCAATGTCGTGGATCATCCATTTGAGGCCGCTGTTCACGCAGATTGACACGGCAAAAAGCAAACAGCAAAAGACAAAAAGAAAAGGGTGATGTGATGAGTTAGGGACGAGCAATCGGCAGCGTCAGCAATCATTAGCAACTGTGAAGATCGTACATTTCCTTGTTGATTTCCTCGCGCTGGAGATGGAAGACGGCGCCAATGGTGTTTCCTGTAGGAGTTTTATTCAAGCGATTCACGAAGGGGGTGTTGAAGGTGTGTTAGATTTTCGAGAGTGGTACACCAAAAACCTGGGTATTGGTGCGAATTGTTGTGTGCTCTGTGCGAAATGTTCACGGATGCATGGTTGTTGTTTGGTTATGTAGTCGGTTCATTGTGTGCTACCATTGGCGTGTTTGTGTGTGTGTGTGTGTGTGTGTGTGTGTGTGTGTGTGTGTGTGAGGGATTGAGTTTGTTGTGATTGTTTGTTGTGTGGTTTGTTGTTGGTTGGCAACAAGATCAAGATCTAGCGGACGACAGACTCATGCACACCCCACACGCATCCATCGAGAGAGCGATGGAGCGAAGGAGAACACGAGAACGAAAGAAAGGAGAGAGAAAGAGAGAAGGAGAGACTGTGATGAACGAGCGCACTGTGAGAGGAGAGGAGAGAAGCACGGGAGAGAGAAGCAGTCGGCGAAAGAGGAACAAAAAAACCAAAACACCAAAAACCCAAAAAAACGCAGAGAGAATCGCTCAGCTGGAAATCTATGCACAGGGTGCGACGTCCAGCGGCGAGATTGACAATGGATGACCGCTCTTCAGATGGGGAGATGGGGAAGGCGGGAGGAGGAAAAGGCAGAGCGATAGAGAGTCAAGCAAAAAAAAAAAAAAAAAAAAAAACACCACAGTTCCGAAAAAGAGAAAAAGGAAAAAGGAACAAACGGACGTCACTCACACGACCGCTGTGCAAACGCATGCAAGCGAACGCAGAAGCGATGACTGCGTGTGTGCATGTGTGTGTGAGTACTGTGTGTGTGTGTGTGTGCGCGCGCACAGGAGTGCAATGGCTCGTCCGTCAAGATCCAATTGAAATTAAAGTCTCTCCGTAGCAACGTCGCCTCATACACTCAACTCGCTGACTTTTGGATTGGCACCTCGACTCAACACCACCGCCAGCGTTCACCAGCACACAGTCACACACAACCACATGCACACTCAACAAAAAAGACAAAAAAAAAAGAGAAGGGGGGATGCGCTCGTTACCAGTCTCAACGGGCTCCGGAACAGGCGCAGGCTCGGGCTCTGGGACTGGCTCGGGCTCGGGCTCCTTGGGCGGCGGCGGCGGCGGCTGCGGCAGGCACGACGCGTGGTGGAACTTGATGTCGATCTTGACCGAGGGCTCGTCCTCGCGCAGGCGGTGGCCGCACGTCGCGCACTTCTTCAGGAACTGGAGGGGAAAATGCGTCGCGCAAAAGTACTCGCGGTCCTTTGAGACGCGGACGGTCACCGACGTCAGCGCCGTCTGGCACTCGACGCACGGCACAGTGCACTTGAAGTGCAGCGGCAGATCGCCTGCCTTCACAAGGCCAGCCTTGATTGGCTCGTTGCAGCTCACGCACGTCTCGTCAGACATTTGTGTTGTGGATTTTTAGATAGGAAAATAATAATAAAAAAAAACAAAATAAAAAATAAAAAGTGCGAAGAACGAAAATGGACGAAGACCAAAACAAAAAAAAAAAAAAAAAAAAAAAAAATCCATCGAAATCCCGCCTCCGTGCAGCGAAAATGGAAAAAATCGAAAAAAAAAATCGAAAAAAACAAAAAGAAAACCCCTTGGAAACGCAAAACCCCGATATCCAAGATTGGTGCGGCAGATCTGAGCACGGATCTGCGGGTCGACTCCCAAAAGCAGGGTTCAACAAATGGATTCACGCCGTCGCTCCAACCAAACATTCGCGAAGGAACGGTGCGAGAGAACAATCCCCAAAAGGAAACCAGTCCTCACCTCGTCAAGCGCTCCAGCTTGCGCACACTAGAGAGGGGGAAAATAAAAGGTTATCGCAGCCTCACGAAGAGCAATGGATGCAATGAACTTCAACGACAACGCAAAAAGCGGGATGGGGAAACCGAAAATCGAAACAATCAAAACACCATTCAGCACACTTTCTGCCGTGCTCTCGGCTTTCGGTGCAGCCGATTGCCTGCAACAGCTCGTTGCCCAAGGCAACGAAAATTGATTTACAGGCTACTCAAAGGAAGCCCAGGGTCGAAAACCGCGTACATCCATGTGAATTCAAGTTTCGTATTTACACGACCAGTGCCCTGCAGGTTCTCAAGGTCCTATCCGGCTCCGGCGGATGATTTGAGTTTCCCAATAAATTTGCAAATTGGTATATTACTCTGTAGACCCTTGAGATTGTTCTGAAGCAACGAAGTCGCTCGCCAGCCGTTGGTTGTTGCATTGTGTAAGCGGCAAAAGAAAACTTTGCAAGGCCGTCTTTCGTCACGTTAGTGCAGAAACACGGGGCTTCAAAAGCCCTGACACACTATTAAACAAACACCACAAACCTTGACAATAATGTTGGCAAAAGGACGGGAACTTTAGGCGAGCGAAAAACATCGACAACGCCCGATTGTTTACGCTGCACGTTGGGGACTCGGGCCAACGCCATGTTCACTAAACCCTACCGCTCACGCTCGTTAGAATGAAAGAAGATGATATTTGCAAGTCAAAATTTACAAGATTGGACTTGCGCAGGCAGAACAGGCCGTGCCATTTCAACGGCAATCAACTGGTTTGAAAAACAAGAGACAAAGGTACTAGAATGTATTCAAAACAACCACGACTAGACAAAAGTCCAGCAAAATACGAAAAACGGGGGTTAAACCCCCACGCCCACTCATCAGGCATAGTAATTGGGCGAAATCAGCAAATCAGTAATCACCGACAGCTGATCTTCAGTAAATTGAAGCTTGAAATTGTGCCAATTGTCTTGATGAGTGCGCCAAAATTCAGACAATGTCTTTTTGACGGTTGCCTGTGATGGTGAGGGGGAGAACATGCCAGACCAAAGCAGCATGTCAGCATTCCGCTCCAAGCGATTCACCATCGAGACGAGTGCTACAAGAAAACAAACCTGAATGGCTCCTCTGTCGGACAGGTGCGAACCAATCTCCACAAGCAGCTCGGGCATCCAAGACGGCAGAGTGTACGGCTGGGCTTGAACAAAGGCACACAAACCAATTACGCCAGCATGCCGTTGAAGGACTTGCTCTCGCTGTTTGCTGTTCAGCTGACTCGATGCCAGCGTTCGGCTTGGCAGTTGGGTCCTCGACCATGGCAAAAAGGTAGTTTCCTGCAAAGGCCGAACACAGGGGCACAAAGCGAAGCAAACCCGAAAGAGAGGCAAGTAGAACACACAGAAAGCGAAGGCAGACAGGACCCAACAATGAGCAAAAAGTCCAGATGGCAACAAAAATCACACCACAACCAGAAGGCAATCATAAGACAAAAGCAGAAGAAAAAGAGGAGGAAGAAAAAGCAAAAAAAGGGGGGGGGGCAACTCACAATGAGCCCCATGGAGGTGATTCTGGAATCGCATCGGGTGAGAACCCCCAGCGTTTCACCAGCAAGTTGTCGGACCTGCAGACATTGCAAAAAAAACGACGGTGGCAAGTGAGTACAGCGATGATGCAGCCCACTCTCGTTGCGCGAAAACACAAACCTCGATTTGTTCATCCTTCATCAGCTGCAGAACAGCTTGCAGAATCATATCGAGCATTTCTCGGGAAATATAGAACTGATTCCGGAAAACGAGTGACTAACATGGAGCAAGACGGAGCGACCGTCCAAACAAAGTGAGCAAACGGCTCAAACAAACACGCAATCCAACCACAATCTCTCTCGCCTCAAAAGAAAACAGAACACACACAATCCGACCACAGTCGCTCTCACCTGAAGCGAAAACAAGAAGGCGATCTTTGCGTGCCAAGTGTAGTGGTGTTGGGATGCTCGATCTAGAGGCGCAATCATGGCCCGCAAGAGCCTTTCGAGGACCACGGGTTGAAAGACGAGGTTGGAAATCTCATTCAAAGCCTGGCGTCCAACAATTCGAACCTCTTCGTCCGTTGAATTGTATGATTGGAACAGCAGCGGCAGAATGCTGTGAATGTGCTCATCGAGCACAAACCGACCCAGGCGGGTCACCGCACGCAAGACAAACTCGAGAGCTGAAGGAGGCAGAGCAGAGAAACACAAAGCACCGTGAGTGCGAAACGAAAAGCGCGGCAACAACAACAACAACAACAGCAACAACAACAGCAGCAGCAACAACAAAAACAGGCCAAACCGGCCAGGAGAAATCCAAATGCATGTCATACCTGTGCGCCCAGCATTCAGGCAAGCCTCGTCCTCAGGAGAAAGCAGACTAGTCTCACTACGGTCTGGCGTCGGGGTGACAGATGGACTGGGGTCACTGCTAGAGCCGGACGAGGGACTGGACTCGGTCGATTCGTGCGCTTGGCGCCGACTGAACGCGTGCCACCGCTCGAGTGCAGTCACAATGGCGGGAAGCGCTTGGCTGGCAGCAGGATGGAAGTGCATCGCTGCGCCGTCTGTCTGCGGCGTTGTTGTGCCCTGAAGAAGGCCCAAAATCAACAGAGCGAGCTGCTGGCGAACAAGCTTGTACGGATACGACAAATTCTCGAGCAGAACGGGCATCATCAAAAGCGACTCGTCGGCAACACGCCAACCCATCTCGCTGGACACCGCGTGGGCAAACAACAGGCGTCGGTACGTCGAATAAAACGAGGATGTATCATTCGAAAACAGAGGCTCGCGTAAGACGAGCTGGACCAAATGGCGGAGCCGATGCACATCGCGATCGTACTGCCGAAAGGGGATGGGAGGAAGAGCAACAAACGGGGAGCGAAAGAGCACAGAGCAAAGGAAAAAAAAATAAGAAGACAAGCAAAAGGATGAAGACATGAGATCGTATCGAAACAGTCCAGAAACAAAAACCACAAGTGACCAGCACTCGGCAGTGAGGCAAAGCACTCGCTGAGCATCATCGAACAAACCCCCCCCCCTACTTACCACTGCAAAGAGTAGACAATTGTTCCAATCATCAATCGTGTAGTTGCCAGCCTTGTCGAAAGCAGTCCGCAGCAAGGGCACAATAAACAGCCACAACTGCTCTTGGCAGTCAAAGGTCCAATGCTTGCTGCCTCGAACGGCGCCAGCAATGATTTCAGCCGCCGTACGTTGCAGACCAGGCTCGTCGCTCTTGACCTGGCGCATCAAATGGGCCTTGAACGGCTCGAGGGCGGCCGGTCCAAGCTGCCGAAAAATGCGCTTGTACAGCTTGGCAGTTGACGTGCTGAAGCGGGCGCCGCTGGACTGCGCGTCGTTGTTGGCAGGAGCATGGTCCATTTCTTGGAAGAGGATGAACTGCTTGACAAACGCATGCGCCGTCACTGGGTCGGCAAATGCAGCCCACAGAGGGGCTTCTGCAGGCTGAATGGACGCTGGGTCGCGAATACCGAGACCGGGCAAATCCTTGGTGTAGCGATACGCCACAAACGACCGTGGAAAGGCCACCCAACCCAAAAAGTTCTTTTCTGCGAATAGCGTCGCTTCCCATTCTTCGCGCGTGCGTGGGAAAGGGTTGTGCACCTGGATTCGACGGTCTTGGTTGTCCAGGCGTTCTCCTGGGGGCGCTGTATGCGACGTGTTGCGCGGGGGGTTGGCCTGCTCAAACACAATATGGTCACGGGCGGGAGGGTGTTGCTGCAGATTGTTGCCCATGGGTTGAGGAGCAAGCAGCAACTCGGCGCCTCCTGTGGGCGTGGTCAATTGCACACTCTTGACGAAAGGTTGGCTGGTGAAGCGTTTCAGACCGCGGAAAATGCTGACGACAATCGACAAGGCACCGACGCGAATCATCGGCACGTGGCTCAACAACGCCCCAGCCTCAGCCGCCACAAGGCGAGGATCCAGCAGTGCATCCGGGCGACTGACCTGGCCGATGGTGGCCAACACCATAGCCTCGTACGGCCAGGTCACAGCCGTTGGCGCGGCCTCGCCAGCGTCCTCCGCGGCTGCGTGGTGCAGGGTGGACAACCGCGGCAAAAGCAACACTAGCTTTTGGGAAAAGTGTTCGAGCTCGGCGCGACGACCGTCATTTCTTGCCGCTTCATCGGCCTGGCCCTGCGCAAGCAGCGCTGCAACATCAAGAGGTGCCGCGATCGCCGAGAAAGCGGCCTGCTGCGCAAGAGTGAGCGCAACGTCGGACACTGTGGTGGCAAGCACCGGGCCGGCGCTCGGGTGGCTCACTGCATTAAAGAGCAATGGGACCATCGCTTGCACAGACTGACGTTCAATCACCCTGCAGCGATAGATGGCGAGAAAGCAGCGTTCCATGAGGCAGAACGAAGAATAGAGGTGGACGAGGCAAAGCGGTTGCATCAGCAAGAATAAAATGCCCTTGATGTGCTCGATGGCCGTGTCGATGGAGATTGACGGGCTGGACAGAGAAGCAGCGGCGGCGGCCGCCAACGAGCTACCAGTATCACGCGATCCAACGGGCGCCGCTGCGACCACGGCTGTTGCTTCCTCAAGCACGCTCAGGAACTTTGGCAGCAATACCATCGAGCTGGTTGGGAATGTCTCCATGACTCGCCGCATGGCATGCTGACTGCGTTTGCGGACAACCAGATACGGATGAATCGCAAGTTGCAGCAGAAAGGCAGCAATTGTCTCCATCCGTTTCGTGAAAAGTCCCGAGTACCGAAGAGCCGCCACCCTTGAGCAATGCATCACGAGGACGCGCCGAAGACTGATGATGGCTGGGATGGGCCTCGCACGCGTTTCATAGGTTGCCTGGAGCCGTAACACGTGATTCGCGGCTTGAATGCGCGCTTGGCGAATCTGGTCTGGTGTAGCGCTACTGGACACGTGTGGGAGGAAGCGCACCGTCAACCGTTCCCACGCTGCAGTCGACTGGCACGACACGTCGTTGCCTTCAAACCGCACCGCTGATAGAGCCTTGTGTGCGCCCTTCACAGAGACGAGAGAATGCTTCAGGTAGTCAGTGCTCCTGCCAAAGTCGGAGATGAAGCGCGAGGAGCACTTGATCAACAATCGTGCCGCTTTGGTGTCATCACTGCCAGCGGAGACAACGTAGGACAGCGAGCTGGCCAAGCAGTCTGCAAGCAAGCTGCGCCAGTCCTGTGATGGACAGTGCTGCGACGCGGTGGCTGTGGTGGTTGCGATGGGTGGTCGTGGGATCCAAGGGTGGCCGTGTTGGTTGGCAAGCTGCTGGTCTTCCTGAGCAGTGCCAAAGTACGGGCCCAGATAGGACCCGGCACCAGCAATGGTATTGTAGAGCACATTCAGATGGGCGAGGGCCTCGTGCTTGGCGAAAAAGGAGGGCAAAGTGGATTCGCGCACGCCAAGGAGCAGCTTGTCCAATCGAGCCATGGTGGGCGCCAGAATGGTTGTCAACAGCTCATCAACGAGCGCGAGCCCTTCCGCGGTAGGAGTGTCCCAGTTCAGCGAGACTTTAGACAACGCCGGAGCATGCCCCCAGTTATCGTACAAGTCTCGGAGTTGTTGAAGATGGGGCCGGGTCGCGCTCGGGTCTTGGAGATCAAACTGCTTGTGCGACCTCGAGTTGGGGAGCGTCAGCGTCCGCAACAATCGCCGGAGTAGCTTGCCAGCGGCCTTGGCCAAACGACGGTCAAACAGGTGAATCTGGGAAAAGCAGACTTGAAGCGTTTGCAGCAACATGGGCTTGTACTCTAACACCTTGGCAGCGCCGCTGTCCACAATTTGTGCGAGAATACGCAGCTGCCAAAGCACTTGATCGTCAACACGTTGAATGTCTCCAACCGTCGCTTGGTTTGCACCATCGGGGGTTGTTGTGACTGGGGAGGAAGAAGGAGGAGTTTCGACCTCCAAGTTGGCAATAATTTGCTCGCACAGCCGCGGCACAAACTGCCGAAGAACCTTTGCAGGAGCGGCAGCGCAGAGACTCTTGCACAAGCGCCCAACCAGCTTCAGCGAGTTCATTCGCAGGTGGGTCATGGTAAAGTCAAACACCCGGAGAATCACATTGTCAAGCCACTCGGGTTCCAGCGAGAGAAAGAGCAGCTCGCACGTGCCAGGCAGCACCCACAATGCCCCTTCGCCAATATCGCCACGCTTGCTGGGCGGTAGCTGGTTTTCGCAAATGTCAAGAACCTTGTCGATCAGCTGCAAAACCCAATCCCCAAAGCTCGCGGAAGCTTCGCAGAGCTGCTCGTCCACGTCGGTGAATGGCAGAGACAGGTAGTTGTCATGACCAAAGGCTCGGCCGTAGGCTTCGTTGCGGGCAAGCAAAGAGTAGTTGCGGATTGGGACGTTGGCAAACAGACACGAAAGAAAATGCAGCGTCGGAGTTGTCTTTTTCCAATCGTTCACGTCAATGCCCGGAAGGATGAGCTGCAGCAGCGCTGGAAGATGCTGAGCACCCCCGGGGTAGAATCGCCGCCAGAACAAGAGACGCGATAGGCCTGCAAGGCAAGCGAGCGCAGCAGAGGTTTGGTGGGTTTCCGTCACAGTTTCCAAGGCCGGGTAGATGCGTTCCAGCGTTTGCGGGAGAATTGCTTGCGGGCAAAGCAGAGCAAGAATTTTGATGGTGGACACAGCATTGGCGATAAACGTCTCGGACTTGGCAAATAGCTGGAGGAGCGCAAGGGGCCGGAGCATCTCGACAAACCGACGGACTGTCTCGGGCGTGATTCGCTCGCTCTCAGGAATGGGGCACCATTGAGCGAGGAGTTTGTGCTCTTCGTCCGAAAAGACGTTTGGTTGAGTGGCGCCTTCCGTGCGGCTGGCGGATTTGTCGATGGATGATGTTGAGGGCCGCTCAAATCCGAAATCACCCACGCCATAGTTGGCTCCATCAGCAGCCCGTGGGTCGCCGTGCTCTTGTTGCGTACGAAGCATCTGCAGTTCGGCAAGGAGCTCCTGGTCCTGGCGCTCTTGGGCATAGCGTGAAGAAAAGGTGTCTGCCAAGCGGTGGAGAAAGACAGACAACCCATCCGACCACGCTCCATTATTGCTGGGATGGTAGTAGGTTTCAATCGACTGCAAAAGCGACTCGAGACGATCGAGAATGGCGCCATCCGGTCGCATGGCCCCGACAATCCAACGCGACGTGTCGACTTGTTCGCCACGCAATTTACCGCCGCGCGCAGACGGCAAGAAGCCGGCGCCGCTGGGAATTTCCAATTGCCGGGCAATGGCCGTAAAGAATCGGTCAGACACCTCCGACCAGTCCAACAGGCCGCACGAGTGCTGGGCAAGCCGAGAAAACAGCTCCAGGAATCGGCAGTCCCACGGCTTCCGGTCTTCCGTCCACCGCCACGTTTGCATGAGGGGAGAAAACCACGGCACAGCTTGCTCTGGCTTGAGAATCGGAATGGGCGTCGACGGAGCGGCCAGCTGAGCCTGAATCATGTGCTTCTCGACCACCTGTCGCGTTGGCAAAAGGAGGGACAGCATCTGGCTGGCTTCGTCAAACGACGAATCGACGGGGACCAGCATGGGGAGGTATTCGTCAAGCAACTCTTGCGCAGCGCTGGGAGCAAAAAAGTCACGACAGGCTTGCATGAGGGTGCACAGGGGAGTCAGATGCTCCTTTGCCTCGAGCTTGAATGGAAACCGAGGGTGGCAATGCAAGTATCTGTAAAACGCGGCGAGCGGGCGCCAGTCCAGCACAATCAGCCCAACGGGCAGCATTGCTGTTGGTTCCAGCAAGCGAGTCAGGAAGGTCATCAAGCCCGCCTGCGATGACAGTTGAATGTTCTTGGTTGTCGTAATCAGCGAGTACGTTGTCTCGATGAGCGCCAAGAGCTGCTCGACGGTGAATCGGAATCCATACAAGTCAATGTAGCTGTAATAATCAGGGAGGGGGGGGGGCAAAACAAAAAGTAGGCAAATAATTTGACAGCATAAGATGGAGGAACTGTGAGTGAGTGAATTGCAATTGGACGACATTTTTCCCGCCACCAAATGTTTTTCAAGTTTCAAGTTTCCGCATCAAACCCAAACAAAACGTTTCATGTTTGCTGTGTTCCTTGATAATTCGACAAGTTTCGATTCTTGCCATTCTGTCGTCGGTTGACTTGTTGCGCACACTTTGCTTCGTTTTCTTGTTTGTTTTGCTCTTTTCTTTGCTGAGCATCGGTTCAACAAAGCCTTCTTCAATGGTTGCGTTGATTTGTTGAAATGGATTTTTTTTTTTTTTGTTTCAAGCTCAGACTCCAGAAACACACCAATTTTTTTTTTTTTTTTTTTTTTTTTTTTTTTTTGTGTTTCCCGAATACGCGCCATTCGCTGCTTCTGCGCCTCGCCTCGGGTTTGAAAGGGGGAAAGGACCCGGGGGAAGGGGGTGTTCGAGATGAGCGACACTTTGTAGAGTGCAACTTACTCGGACATGCGCCTGGTGGCGACCGCGAGCTGGCCGGTTGGCGTCAGATCGCGCGAGAGCACGGCGCGCTGGAAGGCCTCGAGCAGTGACGCGAGGAGGGTGTCGGCCTCGGCCTCGAGCCCGCCGCGGCAGTGCGCTTCAGCACGCGCACGTTCAGCGGGATCCGTCGTCGGGCGCAGGCCAGCCGCGTGATAGTAGGGCAGGAGCTGGTTGTAGCGGATGGGCGCAACCCAAGGCGGTGAATGATCGTCCTGCGTCCCCATCGTCCTCGCTTGGAAGTGGGAGCGAGGGTTTGGCTTGTGAGTGTCCTTGTGTGTATGTGAGTGTGTGATTGGAAATGCCAAGCACGTTGCAACACGAATCGAAATGGGACGCAGCCGCGGAAATGGTGAAAGAAGACTGGCTTGAGACTCGATACGAGATACATTCACCAACCGGTCGAAAAGTTGAAATCACCTTGACTCTGGCTCTCTTCATATTCTTGTTCAACATAAGTTTTATACATAATGTGCAAAAAGTCGGGGCGGTCGGAGCACTGTGAAATTTTGACTTTGCATTGACCTTTGAGTGAACACACTCCCAGTACAGATGCGCGTCAATCCATAACAGACCTACCTTGGTCACAAAACACACATCGAGTCTTGAACTCTCAGTCCAGCAAGTGCCTTTCAGATTTTTCACAATGGTAAGTCAAACGCGGCAAAACAGCGCTTCACCTGTGTTACGACCTTTCCCGGAACTTGACCTAAAATCACTATTGAAGCGTACGAAATGTATGCGGAAGTATCGTTTACTAAGAATATAGTGTAGAATGAGGGGAAGACCGATTAGGGATGAGCCCAGTTCGTAACAAGCCCAGTGTGAGTGATTGCTCATCGTTGAGCCTGATCTCTGCCCCCTTTCCCCGTCCCCTTCTACCCCCGGGGAGAAATTTCAAAACTCGATCATACTCGCACTGTATTTTGGATCATGATGAGCAAGGTTCGGAATTGGAGGAAAATCACTTCTAAAAGGAGAAACAAAAGCTGACCTGTTTCACTTCAGTCTATTTCGTTTTCGCACTCATGGCTGTAAGTGCTGCGAAGGCCTCTCATGGGTCTCTCCCCGCTCCACTCTATCGTGCACTTTGCCACCCGCAAAATACAGTGCCGCAATTCATTGTTGATACTTTTACCGAATCTTTCCATCGAAACTGGGGTTGAATGACATGCATCGATCAGTTCTTGGCGATTCTTGGCAATTCTTGGCAATTCTTGGCAATTCTTGGCAATTCTTGGCGCCTTTTTTTGTTTTGTTTTGGTTGCTTTTTGTTTTCCTTTTCTTTCTGCTTTTCCCACTGCCCCCTGCTGTCCCTCAGTTCCTCGTGAAACGCCCTTGGTGTCATTTAGTCAACCAAGACTAAAGCATCGATTTTGACTTGATGGCGGCAAGGAAAGGAGGTAATGACCACTTGTTTCACTTTTTTTGTTCCCTTGTGATTGGACAGGCCCCGAATCCAGCTCCAGCACCGTTCAGGTAATGAATGTGATTGCCCTAATCGTCACACTGGAGTTGTCTTTGTCTTGACTTGACTGACTTTGCTTTTTATTGCATTTGGACAGTGAACAGCTGCGCGCGTTGGCCGCATGTCTTGGCGTCTCAGTCGATTTGGCGCCAATTTCAGAACTTACCACCCAG